TTTGTAAATATTATCTCGTATCTTAGGGAGTAGCTATTATTTCTACTTTGTAGATGAGTCAGTGTAGGGTCAGAGGTTAAGTAATTGGCTTCAGGCCACCTAGTAAGCAGAGGAGCTGGGATTCAAATTCAGATGCCAGTCGTGCTCTTTCTACTACACCATTGACTTTACCCACGCTTCTGGTGCTCCATTGACTTTACCCACCCTTGCTTGAGGACTTCTGAGCTTCTCTACTCACTGACTGTGGGTATGCAGCTCTGATGGCTTCTGCCTTTTAGACTGCTCTTCTTTGACTGTTTCTCTTGGGCTCTGATATTTTTGTTCTTCAGTTCTGTTTTTTTCTTCGAACTTTACCTATTGCTTATGCAAGGTTTTAGGGAGCTGGGAAGTTATTTTACATGATGAATCCAGGCTGGGTCATACTTTTTGATGCCCCAATCACTGTATCGGGTCTGACAGGTAGGAGTGTACTTTAGGGGACAGATGGACAGAGTTGGAAATTAGCACTGTGTCAAAAATGTCTTTGCACTCTCTCTTGAAAAGGAAAAATTGGTCACTTTATTGAATTTTTCCTTTTTTGAAAAGGAAGAATTAGTTACTTGGCCAGTTGCTCTGTGGAGCTCCAAGATAGTGGCTCTGTTATGTCTGTCAGGACTGCAGTGTGAGCTGAGAGCTGATAGAAGCTCCATATTTCCATCTGCTGGCATTGCTGGCCAAGAAGTAATTTAAGAAATGTAAAATATCTGAAAAGTATGTCTTAATATAGAGATGGAGTCATCTTATTTGGATCAATAAGATGCTTTCTATATAGAGGTGAAAGGGGTTGGGTTTTAGATGAGTTATTATTTTTTTGGTTGTTTGTAATAATGATTTGTTTTTGTTTGTCTTATTCCTCTCTCCAGAAATTGATAATTATCATTGTGGTAGTAGTTGTGTTGCTGGGCATTTTAGCGTTGATTATTGGACTTGCTGTTGGGCTGAAATAAGAGTGGCCTGAGAGGCTGCTGCACTGAAATGTAAGTAAATGATGGTTCTTGGGGACTCTGGACTGGCTCTTCATGAGGAAATTGGCCTCGAATTTCAAATTCCACTTCTTTTCTCTATGACTGTCCTTAGACACACTGAGCTTTCTAATACTTTGGGTAGCCTGTGGATTCTTCCATCACCCTAAAATTCTATTCTCAGGTTCTGGCTGCAGTACGTGGGTCAGGTCTCCTGGTGTTCTGATCCTGTGCTCCCCACTTTAACTCCCTTTACCAAGGAAGCATGCCCCTAAGTTGGGTACAATCTATGTCTTGGATCTAAGAGTCTGTCTTTTGAATTCTTACTGGCTTTCATGGCCATTGGACTTTGCTTTCCATATCCTTTTCAATGTAAATGAAGCTTTGAATTGGGATTTGGGTCTGTAGAGTTTTGTTTGTGGCTGACTGGTTGGATCTTGGATGATCTGCCACAAGTCAATACTCAAAAATGTTAGCTATAACATTATACAATGATATGTGTATAAGGTATACTAAATACCTTATACACATATCATTGAATGCTCACAATAGCTTTAGGAGACAGTATTATGCACATTTTACAAATAAAGAAACTTAGTCTTAAAGAGAAGTAACAGGGCCAACTTTCACTACATCTTGGCTTCTTTTTGTAAAACTGGTAGCTATTTTTCATTGTCTGCAAAGTCGAGAACCTTAGACGATAGTGACTTTAAAATTAGGCTCTTAATTTTCCTTAAAACTTGTTAAAAAGAATAGAGCTGACCACTGAATCAGGTTTAATAGCAGTTAGCAAGACAAGAAGGATCTGGTTACTGGGACTATTAAGACTTTTGTGGCTTTTAAAATATTTTTCTGAATAAAATATAGACTATATTGTTTTTTAAAAAGACCTGTAAAATACAGAAAAAATGAAAATAACGTATTATTGCTGATAACCTTGTGACATATTCAAACACTTAGATATAGTTTTAAATAGTTCAGATTATATTATCCATAGTTTTGTACCAAGTTACAAAATCATAAGCATCATTGCTCATCACTAAAATGTCTTTGTAAATTTACTTTT